TCATATGGGCTTTGATCTAATCCCCTTGAAAACAAAAGAGGTGCTGGTATTGCCTTCCCTCTGTTTTGGATCCTGATTAGTCACCTAAATCCCGTGCTCCCCTGGTTAGATGTCTTAAATTGTATAAACAGGAAGCATCTCCTTCTTCTTCATTGATTACGTGTGAATATTCATAATTGTTCAACAAATCAATTTTGCATGAAATAGAAGGCTTTTCATAATGGTCATGAAAGCACTTTGGCATGATTGCTCTCATTACATTGCTCTCATTTATTCATACCAGTATTTGTGACACTTTTTCTCTGTGAGTAAAACCTCATGCACTAGAATGTTTGAGATCAAACTAATGAAGAAATATGAAAAGAGAAAACATCGTCTGAGCAAACAGCTTCTGTTGCAGGAGGCTAAATAAGGGCTTCTGGGTTGTGTTTGTACCTGCTGTCACTTTAATCTTAGTCAGCCTCTCAACATACATAAATGCACATTTGTATATTAAAATATGTTGACTATTAAAAGCCAAATTATCTTTGTATTTAGACATTATTATTACGTGTGGTACATTAGACCACTGGTAGATTACAGCAATGGGCATGAAGTAACTTGATCTGTATAATAATGAAAAAGTAATTTTAGTCTTGCCTTGTTGGTAAAGTTCATCAACTTTTCTAGTTTGGATTCATGCTTGTTCTGGCATTCTCTTAGCAAATATTTATGAGTTTCACTCAAGGATGTATGGAGGATAATGCTGAAGGAAAGGTGGGAAGCTGAATTGTCATTGCATAATATTTCAGAATAGCATTTTTTGCTCTTGAGGCTGCTGTAAAATTGGAAGGCAGCATCAAGATTTCTTAGCTGTGCTCACTAAATTCATAATAAACTCTCCAGTTCCCATGTGAGCTTAATATACCCTAAATGTTAGGATGTTCTTTTTCCTTTTTGGAAGATTGGTGGCAGTGAAAAGAACATAATTACAATAAAAATGTTAAGACATGCCTATCATCTAAACATCTTCATTATATACCCCGTATTTTATAAATGAGGCTGTTAATTGGGAACATGTCAGTTGATGATGAATGTCCTATGATTTGAAATAACTGTCTTACAAAATGTTATTTTCTAGCTCAGAATTCCAAATGGTAACAGCCATAAGCATTGCAAAACTGGAATGTTAAAACTGGACAGGTAGAGGCATGTAATGTGATTGATGCATGCAGTGAATCGGGGCAGGGGGCTAGAATTCAAGCCAGCTGAGAGGATTTCCATGCTTTTGGGAGGAGTTATTTACACCTTTGATCCTCTCTCAGCCAAAACCCCATTGCACCTTTATGGTTTGTTATAGACAACAGCAGGTTGTTGTACATCTGAGAGAAATTCTTTGGCATGTCAGGTTGAAGATGTGTTTCACTGGAGTAGCTGCTACCCAAATATGCTGGAGTTTGGCCAAATGATGAGTTAAAATGATGATAGATCAATTAATTGTGAGATATTTATTTAAATAATTTATGTGAAAAGATTACTGTTTGACACAGTGTTGCTTTATACCAAGTGTAGATGTTGGAGTGTTTTTTTTTTTTTTTTAAATTTTTTTTTATTTTATTTTGGTTTGTTTTTATAACACAATATATAGCAAGATTGAAAGCAAGGGGAAAATTAGTTTTCAAAGCATCAGTAGTTTCTTTTCTAAATAATATTTCTAATTAATATCCTAACTAACACAAATAAGAGCATCTGTGATTCTAAACGTCTTACTGGAGCCTTGGGAAACCAAAGTTTCATGATTTTACCCAAAACAATTTCAAATGTTCATGTAGGGTTTTCAGAGATGTTGTCTATTTACAGCTGTCTCAGAAGTGAACAGTGCCACTCTTTTTCCAATCGTCTTGAGAACAGAATAATGTTTTTCAAAGGGTAGAGGGAGACTTTCATTGCTGTAATAACCACCGACTGAAGAATTGAACCATAGAAAAATTAAATAACTGGGAGGCAAGGGGAGGGAGGAGATGTTGGGGAGAGATGGTTTCTCATGGGCTGTTAGCAGAACCAGAAGAGAGAAAGGAAAAAAAGTGTCAGGCTGATAATTTATTACGCCATCTTTAGCAGAAAAGAAAATTAAAACAAAAAAAGAACTTGACTGTGAGCAATGTAGCATTTCTCATCTACTCAATGGTATAAAGTGCCCAGAACAAAAAAAAGGTCTGGCAAAGAAGATTACCAACATGTGGAAGCCTGCAGTGTCTTAGAGTCACTGGTGGGAGTTGAGAGCAAGTAAACAGATTTTTTGCCATTAAACTAATCAATGCTAAATGAATTTCGAATTATATGCTTGATAGTGATGGTCACTCAAACCCTAGAAATATCCTAAAAATAGTGTCCACTGTGTAATAAAACCTTTAATTTTTTTCCAGCTCCCTTATTTTACAAATCCTCTATATTCATAGAGGATAAATTATCTAGGCCACCTCATTCCCTATCAGGGCTGCATAAGAGTTCTGACACTGCTTAAAGAACAAGTAGTTGCAACAACACCTAGCTCCTACCCCAAAAATTACTAATATGGTTTCAACCTGGAATTACAGTATAAATATTATTTTAATTAATGTAGCATTTGCTGGTGATGGGACTGTTTACCCTTTCCTGCCATTGAATGCTCTGGGCTCATCTGTGTGGCTCATCTACATTCATTTCCAGCAGAGATTTGTCAAGGAAGTAGGCACCATAATAACTAATAAAACCTTTCATGTATAGTTAAATTAGACCAATTTGAGTCAAGACTGGGTTAAGAGATTATGTGATTTCAGAATCAATTTTTGTGTAATTCTTGACACGTGGTACCTGGTATTGTTATCTAGTGATATGGCTTCACATAATATGCTGTATCATGTGGATTCATATTGGTATTATCTTTTTATCTGAACGGAGTTCAAGAATTTTTAACAAATCATCTTGGAATACTTTCAAAAAAATATTTTTAATTTTGCAAAGTCCATCAATTGACACTGTTGGCCGAGCAGTTACATGCTGTTTCTAAACAAATGCTTATGTTTGCATGTTTACTGCCTGTTTTGCATGTCTGGTTCAGAACAGAGAAATGAGTGTCATTCAGCAAATTATATACATGTATGTTTCTTCTTAGTACTGAGGGCATTTCAGTAGGGACCTCTGACCCCCATTGCACCAAGTAAAACTGTAAAAGAAATTCATTTTCTTGAAGTAGACCTAAAAAAAAGAAAGGAGAAGCTTTTCTCTTTCCTAACACCACAAAGTGCTTGCTTTTAAGACCCAGAACTCCTCAGTCCCTTCCTATGTCTCCCAGAGGCATAATTTTCCACGTGGATTTAATTAGAACATTCCAAACTGTGGTCTTTCTGGTAGGCCCTTCTTTGTACAAACTGGTAATCTCTGGGCTATGTTTATTATTGCATTAAAGCAATGTGGCTTTTCCATTCTTGGAATCCATAGAAACTCTTAGTAGGATATGTGTAGGATTCTACCATGACAACCACTTAAATCAAACATCATTAGTATTGTTTTGAGAAAGTTTGGCCTTTGGAATGTGTACATACATTATTTATTGAAACCTGTGCCATGTTCACATTCAGAAAGGCCTAACACCTGTTCCTGATGAAAGTGAGCATCTGGTGTTTCACAGATAATTGAGACATGAGCTTACTGTCCTCTAGGCCTATCAGACAAAATGGAAACAGGTTTCCTAGGTGGATGGTAAGACCTGGGTCATTGCTGGGTGCAATTTTGATCACACCTTTTACATGGATTGTGATCAGAATAGGGTTTGTCTGTTATATCCTGTTTGCAAGCACAAGTATCAGCAACTTCAGTGTTATGCCCTAGGAGAGAAGTGTTGTACCCTTCAGAAAGAAAAAGAGAGATGAAGATTTTTCCAACACAGAGGAATAAAATGGGAAAGTTCTTGAGAGCTCTGTTCTTGTTAAACCTTTTCCTTTTCTTACTCTGAAAATCTGAATTTGCGATACTTTCACCCTGACAAATAAGTTTATTATGCAACAAAGGAATAAATTCACCTACAAATCAACTGCTTGGTGACTAGGATATAGGGAGAAAATTATTTTTCCTGATTGAGTTTGTCCAGAGAGGTAAACTAGCTCATAGAGAAAGTGGCTGCAGGATGACACATACTGCAAGAAGCCCCAACTGATTTTGTCCTCTCTTGATGTGGAGCTAGGTACATAGGTCATCATTGTTCACTAGGAATTATAAAGATAAACTCACTTCTTGTCAACAGTATTCAATCTTTTTTTTTGTATGGGGCCTCTTTTAGCTCATAGACATAATTTTTAACTGGAGAAGACTCTGCTATTAAGGTCCCAGAAGGAAATGCAGAATGATCTTTGTTTCTTGTTTTCCTCTGCGACAATGTTCCTAGAAATGCAAGCCTGTGAATAAGTGATCTAACATACCCATGTCTATGAGCAGGATTTGATTTCTTTGTGCTCCAGTTTATCTACGTTCATCTACGGATATGTGTGTGTGTGGATGTACAAAAGTAGACAAATACTTTTTCTCCTGGCACTTGCTTTACATTCCTTATTTAGGACCCATAAAATAGTTGTAAGGTAACAGAGTCCAAAGAACTGCAATATAATTGCAATTACCAGCAGTATATTGCAAATTCAGATTGCAATGCCAAACCGTCCTAATCTGCTTAAATGATCACTTGTACAGAATTCTCCAGTCTGATAGGCAAGTTGCATTCATGTACTTCTTTTGGAAAAGCAGTAAGGATGGGAAAAATATTCTTAATCACAGAATTAAAAAGCCTATCCCGCCAGACTCATCTTATAGCTGTCCTTCAGAAGCAAATAGCATATATATTGTCTCCATTGCTTCTACTCCTGAATGTAAACATTTAGGTCTTCAGAAATCACATCATTTTAATTTCACTAGTGCTCTGTATTTGTTACATTTGGTTGCCTCAGACAGACTTGTTACCTGCATAACTATGGGGTTTCTTTTCTTGCCAGGTATTATCAGCCGTCAGGAGGCAGAAGAGTTGTTGATGAATAAATCTGAAGGCACATTCCTGGTGCGAGTCAGTGAGAAAATCTGGGGCTACGCGTTGTCTTATCGCCAGCAAAGCGGGTTCAAGCACTTCCTGGTTGATGCTTCAGGGGATTTCTACAGCTTCTTGGGGGTAGATCCCAACCGACACGCAACACTCACAGATCTGATCGATTTTCACAAGGTAACACTTGCTAGGTAGAGATCAATAGCTGAGTGGAGCAAATTAATAATTTAACAGGGAGCTGTGTAATTTGAAACCAACCTGGAAAATAATAATGACCATAGTGTGGGACAGAATATTCTACACTAAGCCTAGTTGCAACATTCATAGTGTCTTTTGTTGCAGTGAATCAGAAGGCTTTTCTCTGTCTTTAAAATGCTTCAGCATGTATTTGTGTCCTCTTATACAACACATGCTCTCCTTGGCTACAAATGGACTAATAAGGGCTGGCAGAGCTAAGGCTCTTTGAGCCTTTTTCCTGTGGAAAATTGGATTGGAAATGCCATAGAAAGGTCTTTCAATGAAATCTCAGCATTTGTTTACCTTTGCTGTGAGGGCTGTAATGTGCAAAAGCAAGGAAGTGTGGCTCTGCAGTAAAGAGGGTGAAGGGATCATGGAGGGGCTTCCTTTGAGGGACATGTTAAGGATCACTCCTTATTACCCAAAGCAATCTTACAGGAGTAATTTACTACTCGACTTTACATGGGTTTGAATTACTTTGCCTCTAACTTTTGTTTCCTGTTGCCAGACTGTAACTAAACAGTAGCACTGTTTCTGATAGCATAAGTTGTTTTCGTGATCATGCATCTCTCTCCATCTTCATCAGTTTTATTGCTTTTTTCTTAACCACCCTTATTATTTTTCTTCATCCTCTCTTTTCTAGTTCCTTTATCCTTTTTTATCCTTTTCTCACTCTTGTCTCTAAGTAATTTTATATTTTTTTGCTCTTCCTTCATAGCTTTTTATTTAAGTGTTATTTTTCTTCTAAATTTCCCCTCTTTTAAATCTTCCTTTTACCTTACCTAGTTTGCAACATCTATTTAGTGTTGCCTTAGTGTCACCTCACAGATCATTTTGACATTATGATGTCCAGAAGTTATATTTCCACAGGGGTATGTAGTAGGTGTCCCATTTGACTAAAAGATACATTTGATGAAATCTTCTCACATGGCCACCTTGGAAGCCAAAATCCCCCATATACTTTTTCTTCCTCTTCCTCTGCTGAGCATGATATTATATGGTATGGAATATCCTTTTGGCCAGTTTGGGTCAGCCAGAGGGTCAATGTCCCCTCTTAGCTTCTCCCTTATTTCCAACCTACTCTGCCAGCAAGGCCTAAGTAGGAAAAAGAGAGCCTTGATGCTGTGCAAGCACTGATCAGCAATGGCCAGAGCCATGGTGTGTTACCAACACTGTCTTAGCCACAAATTCAAAATACAGCATCACAATTCAGGACAGGCTGCTGTGAAGAAAGTTAACTCTACTCCAGCCAGACCCAGTACAACTGGAAAGAGTCAAACCAGAGGCTTGTCAGGGAAAGAAAAGCAGACACGCAACACCTCAAATGCAGATTGCCAGGCACTGGATGTAGGACCTCTGGCTCATGCAGTATCCTCTCTGCTCCTGTAGATGGTTGATGGTGGCAACCATTTCCAACCAGCTCTGCTCCAGCTACCTTCCTGTATTTCTATCACAGCTCATGCTAAGCAATCACTGTATCAGAAACATCTATTTTCAGAGAGCAGTAGAGCACTTGTCAGAAGCAGAATGGCTTTTAGTTCCTGCCATTAAAACAAAAAGCCAACACTTTCTTAAGTGTCTCCTGGTAATAGTTAATAGCTGCCCCTGTAGGAAGCCTATCAGAGAAACTGGTTCATCTTTAATGCCAACACACAATTCTCTTAACTGTCTAGCTTTTAGCTATATTAAAACTGGTCTCTTTGGCAGTCACTTCAGGAGGCATCTTATCCTGTCTGTCACATGGTTTTCTTTGAAGCTTTTTTTCCTGCCCCTTCTGGTGAAGTACACAGTCAAGTGTCCCAAAGCCTTCTGGTAACCAACTAAGCAGTCTGTATGTAAATGGCTGAGCTTTGGGCACCCTTCCTCTTGCAGCTGTTGCTGTATCATTTGAGAAGGTGCTGCTTTCCTCAGGACTATTTTTGGCAAGAGTATACTTTCCCACCCCATGGGTTGCATGGACTTCTCTTTGAGGGTTTTTTTAACTTTCAATCAAAGTGAGCAGGACTGGTATAACTAATTTTTTACTTACTTTTTGATTAATTTTGTTTCATTTTGATTAAAAAAAATTAATAAGAAGAGGTCATTCAAGCAACTCAGCTGACAGAGACAAGTGGTAACCACTAGCTGAAAGAACAAACCTTACAGAATAAAGTGTGACTGTGAATCTTCTCTTTTTATTTTCATTTAAATACTGTGTGAAAAGCAGCAATAACATCTCCAAGATAATTGCTAAATATTTGTATTTACTTCCTCATAACCTTATCTAGTTGACAAGCTAGTGATTTGTCAAAAGTTAGACTCAGTAATCTTACGGCCTTTTCCAACCTAAATGCTTCTGTGATTCTTTGATTCTGAAAATCATTTAGTTTGGGTAGTGACTTTCTGAACTAATTCTCAGTCTGATGTAGTGACTGGGAAGGAATGACAACTGGGAGCCTGCATGTGTTCTCAAGAAATCAGGCACCAAATTTACATTGAATTTCAATAGAAACTAGATAGCTTTTGAACATCTGAGGCCCATATATAGATCCATAACTTGGATCTAAACTTTCAGATGAAGGATAGCTATTTTAGTCAATACCATGTCTGGATCCTGGCTCATTTTGGTTCATCTATAAATCTTAAATTTCTACAAAACCAAAAATGAACAATCATTACTGTAGGAATAAATGCAAAGACCAAGTTCTCTACTTTTACAGTAGGTGAATTGGTAATCACTTACTGGAAATACACACTTGGCATGTGAGTATTTACTTAATGAGAATACTTGCTATTTGTAAAGGCTGTCTTTATCCTAGCAAAGTGAATGTATTTCATGTTTCTGTAATGAGTCAGAGGGTTGCTCCTGTTCCATGTGAGCACTCAACATTGAACTCTTGCTCTGTCTGCCTGGGGAAGTTTCTTTCATCCTGTGGAATGACTGTGGAAGTAGCATAGGAAGACTGGCATATGTCTGTTAAATTAATCCATGAGAACATCCTTTACAGACATCTGTAGCTGATTTTCCTAAGTAGTGTAGCAACTTGCAAGTAGTACAAATCACAGCCTCTTGTGTACACTGATTGCATTGGTAGTAGCACAAGTTACTGCGAGCATAAGCACAAGAAAAACAACGCATGAAGAAAATGTTTAGTCGATAGGATCCCTTTGCTGGTCTGTAATTATTTATTCATAATTGGTTTGTTCATAATTGGTTGTCGATTACATGAAAGACTTAGATCTTTTATATTTTAATTGGTTTTATCTTTCCAGGAAGAAATCATCACATCATCAGGTGGGGAGCTACTACTGGAGCCATGTGGACAGCAGAAGAATCCACCAGACTACAGCTCTTTATTTGAATAACTGATCCAGGACTAACAGGGATGCATTCTGGTTAGCAGTAGTAATAAATAGCTACAAGAGTAAACACTGAAAGTATTTAACAAACTTGCAAAGCCACTGGTCTTGTGGCCAAAAAGTATCCTCAATAGGAGGCCTAAAATATTCCTGTTCTGCATCTGAGTTAACATCATTAGTCATGTTGCTAGCATGTGAAAGGTGAGAAATTACCAGCAAATTACTAAAGAGGATACTCCCAGAAAATTTTCAAGGGATTGTGGCCAATTGCACTGAATGCTAACTTCCTATCCTAATTTTTTCATGTCTGATGCACCAAGAAGCATGGCCAGGAGCTGTTCATACTGTATGAAGCACCAGTGTTGGTGAACAGATTCTTTTTTCCAAAGCAAGGTTTGTCAGGTTCTGTTGACAATCTCATTACTCGGTGGTGCACTTTTGATAACAAGAGAAGCGGTCTTAAAACATCCTTCTGCAGTTTGTGATTGCTTACATGGGTAGGTGTATCTTGACACTTGGCATTATGCTTTTGAATTCAGACCTACAAAATTCCCCACAGCAGAGACAGAACAAGGTCACGCACCTTATATTTACAATTTCACGCAGTCCAACAGCCTTGGAAGAAACTTTACTCCTGCACAGTAAGTGGTCAGTTTATTGCAAAGAAAACAGTTTGACTTGCTGCAATTTTCTCGCTGTCCTTGTCATGTTTTCTGCTTTGAGATGTGCAAGAGACACGCTGGACATTTCTGTCTTTACTTTGTTGTAGGACCGTGTATTTTCCTTAGCTGTGTTACAGGTGATGGTGGGCTGGTATATTTGTACATGGAAAAGGTACAACTAATTACATTGTCATCATGCTATTTTATGTTTAAAAAAGATGCACACAATGTGTTCCTCATCCATTTGCTATTAACCCCATATTAACCCCATGTAAATAGACCAGGAGCTGAGATCTGTGGAGTAGTTGCTTAGCTTTTGGACTACAAAGATAATAAAATATCATCACAGCAGATAATTTGTCCTCCTGAAATTTGTGTCTCAGCCATTCTTGCACTCTGGGGTATCACATGGTACAGATATAGTCCTGCATTGTTTCACTGGTAGGCTGGACACTACTGGAGCAGGCAATTCAGAAAATGGAGTGAGAGAGCTGCAAAACTGTTCCTATTACCCTCCTGTGCTCTGTTCCCATGAATGGCCAGACAGAAACTGCTGAGTATAGAAGTGGGTTGTTTTCAGCTCCAAATATTCAATTTGCAGTGCAATATTTCAAATAATAGGATTGTGACAGTTTTGCATGCAAGTGATTTGTTTCAAGAGTGAAGTGGAACATGGGGGAAGGAGAAGTGTACCTCTTGGTTAGTGTCATAGCCATGCCTTTAACAGGCAGTTTCTCTGTACTTTTCATACATGATGTGCATTTTGAGATGTTATGTGGACCAATCCATATGTGTTACTGTAACTTCATGGTTAATTTTTCCAAAGAGCCTTCCTCTGAGAAACCAGCTCTGCACTTTTTCCCTCCTATAAAAGATATCTCTAGAACCACCTCGGCCTCAGGTGGTTATTCACAGCTGCACGTGTTTCGTCAAAGAACAACTGGACCCCTTCTTTAAAGGAGAATAGAAAGGGACCTTTAAAGTTGAGGTATCCATAGACTTTCCCCAAGGCCAGAAAGCAGCAGATGGCTGTGTAGAACTGAGGGTCCAGAGGTGGTACTGAACAGTCAAGGTGGTATTTAGACACCCAGGCATCTTTGCAGACTGATGTTTTGCCTTTATGAACTGAAAAAAAAACCCAAGCTAACTAACCAAGACCAATTAAAAAACCCCACCGTAAAATGCCACCTTCTCTTTGGCAAAGGTGATAGACATGCTAGAAGACATGCAAATTCCAAAGTTTTTGGGAGATTACTCAACCCACAGTACAAAATTCTGTGAGTGTTTATAGACAGAATATTGAAGAACTCGTTCCACATGGAATTCACATTTAGAAAATGATAATAATGCAGCTATTTATTTCTAGTGTCACATTTCCCAGCACCTGCTTCTGTTTTGTTTGGCCCTTAAGATGGGTTGGAAAACCAGCTCTAGCTTATGTGGCCTCTTGTGATGCGATTAACATCAGAACATCACCACTGTTACTTCATAGAACACTTCCTAAATTCTAATTTTCTTAAGTTTTCTGTCTGAATTCCATCCATTTCTCATTCCAAGTTTTCCCTAGCTTTAAAATAAAGCCCTTGTAAGTTCCCCTGCAAATGATGCTACTTGGTAACTGCAATTTCTTCTGAGAGTTTTATTATGCTAATAAATGGCAGAATTCTAAAGTAAAGAAATTGCCTTTTTTTTTTTTTTTCCCTCCATAGCTCAACAAAAATAATTAAAAATAGCCAGTCAATTCATAGAGATACAGTAAAGAAAACCTCAAAGATGTATAACCAAGAGCAACAGCAGCAGCAATAAAATACAGTGCACTTAACTGAAGGTAAATTTTGAGGGAAACAAAAGGAGATCACAGGTAGCAGAAATTAAGAAAAACAAAAGCTTTCTTTGGTAGAAATGTGCAGCTGTTACCAATATACTTGAATCAATTATCAGCATGGAGATGTTTTCTAAGCTAACAGATGCTTCTTGCTGCCTTCCAGAAAATAAGTGGATTATGAAAAGGTAAGCCAGTTAATAGGAAGAATAGAAGGTAAAACAGGGAAGGAGTAAATACGGAAAATTAAGAAAACAAGAAAGGGGAAAATGTTCTTATCCCATTGTTTTGAAAGCATTTTGGATTTTTTTTTTTTTTTAATTTTTTTTTTTTGTGCTACTCTGGGAGGAAGACTGGGCCCTGCTACCTCGTTTTCTCTCTCCAAGATTTCAACTTTGAGCTAACAATCTACCTGGGAGCTGGATTTTACACTCCTGAATCTATAAGATTTGGGCTGATCGGTGCTGCATCTGCTTCACTCTGCCAGTACGTGTATTACTGTTTGAAGCTGTTCATCACTGGGTAAAAATATGTTCCTAATGCTACCATTTCCTTGTCTGCAATTGGTACCTATATTTCATCACACAATGACCTTCCAATCTTGCTTTTTAACCTGCTTCTCTAGTGGTAGCTGTTGTTGAGTCGTAAGAGGTGCATGTTATGGATTTTCATTATAAGATTTCCTGTCAATATTTCTTGTCAATGAGACCATGGGGAACACATTGAGAGACCTACTGTGGTAATTGTGTTTCATAAGGAAAAACGATACAGCAAGAAGGGAAACTTTTAAACTTTTAAATGAACTGAACTTTTCTCATATCTGTTTTACACCAATAAAATATGGCACACGAGGTCCCCAGCTTGTTTGAAAGTGTCTTTGAAAAAGCATCTTTTGAGGATTTATTCTTGCTTCTTCCTGGATCCACAGATCCATCAGTTCTTTTGAATTTTGTTTTAACCTGTTACTGCACAAAACCGAGAGCAAAAACCAAGCAAAAAAATTGACAGCAGTCATGGAGGAGATTTTCAAGGCTACTCAAGGAACACAGAAGCCAGTCTATTACCTCATTATTAATGGAATAATGAGGCAGTATGAGTGTTTATATATTAGTTCTATAATAGTTGTTCTGGGTTATTATTTGAAGTACTAAAACCCTATTGTCCTGAACAAGTACTAAGCAAAAGAAGATAGCATCTGCCTCAAGAAACAAATATCTAATTTTTTTAAACATTTTTAAATTTTTTTTTTTTTTTTAATAACAGAGATTTATTTTCAGGCTTACTGAGTAGAAACTCTTTCCAAAGTGCAGATTCAGAATGAGAACTTGCACTTAGGTTGCAATCCCTTTGAATCAAATTAATAAAACCTCTTCCGTTGCTGAAGTGAGGCAGGATTAATGCACTGACTACAGTAAAAGAATTTGATTTTGTATGAACTAAGGATTCACTTCTGCTCAATCTTCCCTTGGTCACCCCAAACCTGAACACAGAGCACTAATGGAGTTGCTCCACTCTTCACTGCAGTCTAAATTCTTCCCTTTACATAAAGCCACAAGAAAAACCTCGTCTTGAGTAGAATGTGGCACTTCACAGTAGGAGAAGCTTTTCGCTTCCTTTATATGAATAAATTTGTTTGCATAATTTAAAGGTTAGAGATTATTTTTCAAGGACTGACTTTCTTTACTGTTTCATTGTGCCTTTGCTTTAAGATTCCTTTTTCCCTTCCCAAGAGGATAGAGTAAGTGACCTCTGTGAATAATGTGTCCCTGGCTGGGCTATAAATTGCAAAATGAGGTGTTTGCACTTGGCCAGATGCTTGGTTTGTATTTCCTGAGATGAATCTCCTGGATACATCCTGTCTGGTGATAATGATGCATAATTGATTTTTATAGCTAATTTCTTGCCATGCAAGTGCTGTGTGAAGCCTTCTCTTCAAATATTTGTTTACTGCCAGTGATTAGTCCTGTAGCCAGTGTATTTACATGATGGCCCATAGCTAATGCAAATTTTCTACTAGGCTGGAGCCTTCAATGAGTTAGGTTTCTTCTCTTCCAGAAGTTTTAAATGAAGATAACATTTTATGGTATCTTTATTATATATCAATAAGTGATTTTTCTTATGGAGGAGAAATAACTTCAAAAGAGACTGGACATTTAGTTTGATCCTAATCATGTTCTTTTGATCTATGTACAAAGAAAACACTTAGCATGTTAATGTTTCCTTTAAAGTTTAGCTGCCATTTCTCCCCTGTTCTCAGTTTTAATGAGAACTGTGTGTAGGAGAAGGTCCTATGCTCACAAGCCATGGAGAGAAAAGAGAGGAGGCAGGACTATTTTATTCCATGTAATTTTACATGTATCAGCAGGCAAAGCTTGAATGCAGTATTTCCTGAGATGCACTGTTTTTCCTGCTTAGCATTCAGAGGACCTGTGCTGAGACCTGTGGTCACTGTGTTTCCCTGACACAGCAGCAACAGGAAGGTTTTCCTACCAAGTATGTAAAGGGCACAAAGGGAGTTCAAGAAGTAACATGACAGTGCCCCAGGAATGATACAGAACTATGCAGATCAAGCTCATGATAAAGACATATTTTGTGCGTAGGTGTGTAGAGCAAGGAGTGGCTGCAAATTCTTGTTTGTTGTATCCTTCTAACTGTATGACTGTTGTCACTGATGGTCAGTTCATGTGAAGACGGCCAATCTTAATGCACCTCTGATTCCATAAATTGGTAGAACATAGATTACCTTAAAGGAAAATCAGACATCATTCTGCCCCAAATATCCTACAATAATACCTATTAACACCTTAGACAGGTGTTAATAGGTATTACTGTAGGATTTTTGGGGCAGAAAATTTTTAAACTTATAATGCATATCAGGATATGCAAATGCTAAACACTGCTTACCACATAAAGCATAATGAACTTCTCGATGTGATTTTTATAGCAATTAAAAACTCAAAGCTGTCCCCTGTTATATGCTGTCCTGTAGGAAATATCAATACTGAAAACAAGAAAATATCTTCTCATTTAGGAATTTAAGCTTGATAAAAAGTCCCTTCCGAGAGCTGTACAGTGAAACACTGCACTCCAGTTAGTAAGACAGCCAACCTGTTGCACTTATATCTGTTCTTGATTCTCAAAGTTGTCATGCTTGTGATAGCCTGAAGCTAATGAGAAATATGTTTTTATTAAGT